AACGAGATAGGACGAGCAGTAGACGACTTTGATATTAATCAAAAGATAGACGGATCGTGCTTTAAGCGAATCAAAAGCGTGTTCGACATTTCTCAATCAAAAAGATCAATGATCAAAGTACGGCACACACGAATGTTCGAAACGTAGCGAAGGAAGTAGAGAATGGCACAATCAAATCTGCCCAACATCGCATAGAGTTTAGACATTTTGTGATGAAAGTAGAGAAAGAAAAGATGAGAACGAGAGAGAGAGAGAGAGAGAGAGAGAGAGAGAGAGAGAGAGAGAGAGAGAGAGAGAGAGAGAGAGAGAGAGAGAGAGAGAGAGAGAGTGAAAAAAGAGAGAAGAAAGGAGAGAGAGAGACGCGCGCGCGCGCGCGCGCGCGCGCGCGTGTGTGTGTGTGTGTGTGTGTCTGTGTATGTGTGTGTCTACCAACGATCCGTCGCGATTGTGTCAACCAGATAAAAGAGTGATTTTCCCATGAGAGGAAAGCTCGACAATAAAAATCGCCATATTTCAGCGTTTTCAATCGCGATGAATGATTCTGATGTAGTAATTTATACATAACCAAAATTAAAGATAATAGTGTTATCGCTATATTGGCTGTATTTTTGTCGCCTTGCTCTTATTTGATTTGCAGCTTCATAAAAAAATGTAAAAGAGAATCGTTCTGAATTGTTATATCCAAGTTCTGTTTTGTACGTTAAGCGAAGATCATTAAAAGATATATTATCTGATTTATTTCTAATTTGTGTTGTTGCTGGTATATATGTTCTTAGAAATATATTTATTCATACATATGTTTAATTATCTGCACATAATTTTCTTATTGAATGCATTTAGCTTATTCTAAATTTTATTATGTCTTTAGTTTAGTACAATATATAAATTATCATGCACGATCGCACGTGATGTAAGCGCGACAATTATTTCTTGCAGTTTTTGCATGTTGATAAACATCAATTTTAATCATCTTTCGATTCAGTTCTGTCGTAACCTGAACCTTGAAAAAATTTTGTCTCTATCATTATAATTAAATATTATTCTTTTATTGTTTATCTTTATAATATAATAATGTCAATATCTAACGAGACGTATTAAGAAAATTAAAAATATCAGAGTGTAAATATATTTACAATAAAATGCAGGTTACAATCGCGATTTGCAAAACTTTCGTATTATTTAAAATTCTAGCTTAAAACGAAATCGTTATGTTTTATATAACCGAATTTCGTTTTCTAATAGAAATTGGGTGACTAGCCTCGAGGACACGGCACGAGTATGCAAAGAGAAAGCAACAAAATTATAAATAAATATATATACATACATATAAATACAAAAATGCATATATATATTATATATATAAATATATATACTTGCGCGCAGCGGCGGCGAGGGCTGTTATTTTCAATCGTCGTGCGTAAAACAAAGCACTGTGCGTGAAAAAGAGACAGAGTTAGCTTTTAAGGAACGACATGAAAAAGAACATATATAAGTAAAAAGAAAATATCGTGTACATTATTAGTTAGGCAAAAGAAATAAAAATATAGGTTATTTTTGTGAAAGGTGGAACGAGCAAGGGGAGAGAGGGGGAACAGAGAAAAAGAGAGAGAGAGAGGGGGGAAGGGGGGAGAGAAAGAAAGAGAGAGAAAGAGAGATCGTGTGGCAAGAGGGACCCAATGGCAGACTGTAATACGAATTATGCAATAAGAACCTGTTATCGCGTCCGTTTGCATCTGTCAATCAACTTCTGTACAGTAACGTATACCAGGAAGCGTTTAATCAACAAAAGGATATTAATTGGATTTGACACACTCTACTTTTACGTTCCTTACGTTCCGCCCAATCACTCCCCTTATCGAATTGCTCGCTATGCACTCCGACTCGATTCCACCTTCGACAGAGAAAAAGTGAGGGATCCCGCATTCTTTCAAAGAATTAGCGTGGACACCCGATCTTGTAAAAAGTATTTAAAAAAAAGACGCCTTAAACATGAAGGCGTGTGTATAACTTGATGTAGTCCTGTACGTTGTCTAGGACATATACTGAGTGGAGCTAGCCGATTGAGCGAATCGTCGCGTTAAACAGGAAACCAAAATGTAGCATAAAGTGATAGATAGATAATTATTAATGTAATCTGACTTAGTAGGCAAAACAAAGGGGCAATGGAATCGTGGACGGAAACGACGGATGACGGGGAAGTATGAAACGGGGCGAAGTAAATTGTAAAAAGAGGGGGTAAACTTTCGATGAAAACCACACCGTAGGGCAAAACTGGCAAAAGAGAAGATTCACTTATGGTACCTAAGATCCACTCATGGACCTATTCGGGAAAAGGGACACGCGCGCGCATACACGAGGTGTAAAAACATATACGCGTATGTAAATACACACAACACCAAATACACAAAATGCACACAGCATACGTGTAGAATATAGCGGCGAGAAACTTAACAAAAGCTCTAGACGTAGTCTAGTCTAATCTATAGCTTGTCGATCATTAGGTTAACGAAGTAAAAGCGTTCATGAGGGATAGTGCAATAACTAATATCCGCAAATTATACTCAGCACTCTTATACGGCACAAATGGCAGGACACGTGTATATGCATACACCGAAAAAACAGATATTGGCATGTATAAACATATATACATGTATACACATACACACAGGAACGCGTGCTGCGGCTGCTGCCTCC